AGTTTCTATTATTAAAATAATTAAGTTGTGGTCAGTACTAGAATTGGTCAGTAATGGTCAGTATTAATGTAACTGATTATTATGATAGATATTTGCGATATATTAAATTTAAATAAAAAACATTTTTTAAAAATATTGACCACTATTGACCAATTCAAATACCGACCATTTAAAAACGCTTATGCTCAATTGGTTTTAGTGTATTATTAAACATTTATACAATGATATATTCTGTGGAAATAAAATGGACATAAGACGGACTACATTGTGTGTTGTCATGTAACTTGTCAAATGTAAGTGTTTGCATCATAGTGTTCAGACAGTATGTTTGCTTATTACATCCGGTTGCACATCTCTGATATAAAGGGATGTTTATAACGTCAACCCCAACATATAGTGGACAACAAGGGCTCAACAGCCCTACATTTGGCCCCCTGGACGGCGACATAGAGATCGTCAATATATTGTTCACGAAGTCGGCTCACGTGACAAATGTTAACTGACAAACTTTTAATATCCTAAAACTTACTTCTAAATAATTTCTTATGGCGTTTACCAGGTACGGTAATTTATAACATTTTTATATAATATATAAACTGTACATTAAAACAAAAACTTTTAATATTATAAAACTAGCACCCAAAATATTACTTATGGTTGAAACGAAAATCAAATTATTATTTTATTAATTTAATTATGATTGTAAGAAATATATAAAATGTTAATAAACTACAAAAATAAATCTATAATATCGGTTCAGTTATCTCGTTGTCCTCCCCCTCCCGTTCCTCTACGAGATTGACATTCATTTTATGCGAATAGTATTGTTTCGCCATTTGTTTCAATGTAATAGTCATGTGTTTTCCCGTTTGTGTCACTAATTTAGTAAACAATGCATCGTTTGATTGCAACAAAATGTATGGCATTTCGTATTCAATCACTTCTCCCGCGTCTAACACCTGATACACAGAATGTGACAATAATTTCAAACATACTATACTATACTGTATGACATCCCATCCCATCCCCGCACACTTACCATCACTTTATCGGCATCGATGATAGTGTTGAGTCTGTGGGCCATCGTAATGACCGTACAATTAGCGAACTTTTCTCGGATAGCCGTCTGAATGAGAGCATCGGTTCTGTGGTCGACATAAGCCGTCGCCTCATCCAAGACTAGGATCCGATTGTCTCGCAGTATAGCCCGAGCCAGGCATACCAACTGGCGCTGACCTACGCTGAAATTACTGCCCCCTTCGGCCACCAGCGCGTCCAACTGTCCCGGCAGTTGTGTCACCACATCCCGGAGCTGCACCCCGTCCAGCGCCGCCCAGAGCTGGTCGTCCGGCCGATCGCCAAAGGGATCCAAATTCATACGGACACTACCCGTGAAGAGCGTCGGCTCCTGAGGTATGATTGATATGCGACGCCTCAAGTCGTGCAGACCTATGGCGCGGACGCCGACCCCGTCGATGAGTATCTGTCCCTCGGGTTCGGCGAGTCTGAAGAGGGCTGATATGAGGGACGACTTTCCGGCGCCCGTTCTGCCGACGACTCCTACCTTTTCGCCGCCTTTCAGGCAAACAGTGACTCCTTTGAGGACTTTA